CTCTGTCACCCTCACGGGTCTCTGTCACCCTCACAGCCTCTGTCACCCTCACAGCCTCTGTCACCCTCACAGTTCTCTGTCACCCTCACGGGTCTCTGTCACCCTCACAGCCTCTGTCACCCTCACAGGCCTGTGTCACCCTCCCAGCCTCTGTCACCCTCACAGCCTCTGTCACCCTCACAACCTCTGTCACCCTCACTGCCTCTGTCACCCTCCCAGGCCTCTGTCACCCTCACAACCCTCAGTTCCCTTCATCCTGGGCCCCTCCATCTCCCCGGGACAGCCCAGAGCAGCCCAGGAGAGCTGGAAAAGGAGGTTCAGGCACCTCCCAGGGGCTCAATCCCAGCCCAGAGGAGCTGGAGTGAACTCCAGGAGGAGTTTTGGCACCAGCTGGGACAAGCACAGCTCCTGGGGGTGGGACACTGGGACATGGGAACCACAGAGACCCAGGAGATCACAGAATCATGGAATTATTGAGGCTGGAAAAGGCCTCTGAGATAATCCAGCCCAGCCTGGCCAAGGGGTGCTCCTGGAGCTGGGAAGGTCTGTGCTGGAGGCTCTGCTCTGCCACTGCCACCCCAAAAAGCTCCTGGGTGGCTTGTTCTGCTCAATCCCACCCCCCTGTCAGGAAGAGCAGCACCATGGAATCATGGAATCATGGAATGGTTTGGGATGGGAGAGACCTTAAAGCTCATCAGGACCACGGGCAGGGACAACTCCCACCATCCCAGGGTGCTCCAGCCTGGCCTTGGGCACTTCCAGGGATGAGGCAGCCGTGGAACAACCTGTGCCAGGGCCTCATTCCCAAGGATTTCCCCAAAACTGATCCACAACTGCACGAGGACAAGGCTCAGGATGCTCAGGGAACCCAACCCAGGGATCTCCTTCCCTGCCAAACACGTTCCTGCAGCTGACAGGCACAAACCAATCCCGTGGCACCGGGATCCCCTTCCAAAGGGAGGAATTCCCAGGTTATTCCACGGGGGATAACCAGCTCTGCTGCCCAGGAGAGCCCAGCACAGACACTCCCACCCCTCCTGGAGGTCTGAGCTCAGACAAAGGGGGTTTGGGCCAAGGAAACCAAAGGAAATTGGGTTTAGATTGGATAGGAGGAGGGAATCCTTCCCTGGGAGGCTGGAGAGGCCCCTGGCACAGGTTATTCCAGGGATGCCCCATCCCTGGAAGTGCCCAAGGTCAGGCTGGAGCGGCCTGGGAGAGTGGAAGGTGTCCCTGGCCCAGGGCTTGATGAGCTTTAAGGTCCCTTCCAGCCCAAACCATTCCAGGATTCCAAGAAATTGGTGCAAAATCCACGAATTAAAGCACAGTAAGACCCATAAAAAAGATCCCAACCCCAGCTCAGGGCTGTGGCAGAGGGTGTTGCTTGTGCATTTTACTCCTTGCTGGGTTTGTTCCACTGACTGTGGCTGGTCCTGGCAGATCCCAGTGGATCCCAGTGGATCCCAGCAGATCCCAGTGGATCCCAGCAGGTCAGGGGGCTCCTGTGTCCCCCCTTGGAGCAACCTGATCTAGTGAGAGGTGTCCCCTGGATGATCTTTAAGGTCCCTTCCAGCCCAAACCATCCCAGGATTCCATGAAATTGCTGCAAAACCCACGAACTAGAGCACAGCAAGACCCATAAATAAAATCAATAAAATGCCAACCCCAGCTCAGGGCTGTGACAAGGAGGTGTTTTACTCCTTGCTGGGTTTGTCCCACCAGATGTGGCCGGTCCTGGCAGATCCCGGCAGATCCCAGAGGATCCCAGTGGATCCTGGCAGATCCCAGAGGGTCCCATCGGGTCAGGGGGCTCCTGTGTCCCCCCTGGGAGCAACCTGGTCTAGTAGGAGGTGTCAGGGTGTGGAAGAAATGATCTTTAAAGTCCCTCCCAACCCAACCCATTCCATGATTCCCTGATTCCCAGCAGGGTGGCTTTGCTGGAGAGGAGCTCATCCCACCCCTCCTGCTGCTCATGGACACCCCCAGGGCACCACCCACCCCCCAAAGGACCCCCCCAAAGGTCACCTCCTTGTCCTTGAGCCCCAGCAGCAGCACCTCCTCCATGAGGGTGAGCCGGATGTCCTTGGAGTCGTCGGGATTGTCCTCTCCGGGCTCCCTGTCCAGAGCTCCGTCCTCCTCCCCGTCCGGCCTCTTGTCCGAGCCCCTGGCCGGGTCCCCCCGCCGTGCCCGGTGCGTCAGGGTCGTCATGGCCCCGCTGCTGCACCAGGGGCAGGGTCAGGGGCGGGCAAAGGGCTGGGACCCAGAGCCAGAGCCCAAACACGGACTCAAACCCAGACCCAGAGCCAGAGCCCAAACACAGACCCGAGCCCCTGGCCGGGTCCCCCCGCCGTGCCCGGTGCGTCAGGGTTGTCATGGCCCGGCTGCTGCACCAGGGGCAGGGTCAGGGGCGGGCAAAGGGCTGGGCACCCACAGCCAGAGCCCAGACACAGACCCAGAGCCCAAACACAGACCCAAACCCAGAGCCAGAGCCCAAACACAGACCCAGAGCCAGAGCCCAGACACAGACCCAGAGCCAGAGCC